CCATCAAGTTATCTGGTTCAAACCTTCCTACTTCCTTTTCTGGCACTGAAAGTCACTAACTAACTAGTACCAAGAGGGAAAAAATTCACTATAACTTTTCATTTTTTTTCTATTTCTCCCTAGTCTGTTTAGTGTGGTCATCCTAAGATTGTCTTTTGTTACTTATCTTTCTTGTCTCCTCCCTTTGATAAAATAACTTGCTTCAATAATAATTTTAGTATCCTATTACATTGATGAAGGAGGTAAGGAAGAACTTTGTGAAGTTTGTGTTGACATTAAATTTCATTGCCTCTCCATTTCTCAAGGATTTGTCTGAGCTTGTTGATTCTGAATTTATATGTTATTTGATTCTCTAGCATCCCATGAAATAATAATTTTGTTGTATTTTATAGTGATTGATGCAGGTGTGTGCTTATTGGCAAGTAAAATCTTTGCCCAAAGGAAATTTCTGTCAAAATAGCCAAAGCACATTGAAATTAATCTTCCTCTTATAGCTATTAAAAGGAGGGCAAGGTCGAAATATAAATCATACTAGAGTGATGCCAGCAAATACCAGAGTGGATGCCATCAACAGAATTTATTACATATCTCTCTCTCTCTTCTTTTGGAAATGAAAACAAAACAACCAAAAACTCAAGTGTGTAATTAACTGTATGTTGCTTCTGTGAGCAAATTCGCTTGCATGTCACTCATAACATGACTAAATCTTTTAACATTCCTTTTGATGACACACTCCCAAAAGCCTGTAATACAAAAGCCTAGCTAACTTTCTCTCCTGTAATATCTTGTGTAGAAAAGACAGTGTATAATATATATAGAAACCCACAAATTTCAGCAGGTAATTAGCCTTTAAGCCCTTTCAGAATTTACTCTTAGCAATTACGAAATTAACACCATCATACAAAGTGTTATTTACTTGTTTAAAGTAATGATTTTGTAATCAGGCAAAGGACTATGTCCAGCTGGGTCCTCAAAAGACATTGTCAAGAAACAGTAATTTAACAAAACACTACTAAGGAATAAATTACCAGCATTTCTAAACCCATTCTATCTCCATAATTTTCAGTTTCAGTAGTGTTAATTTTAAGAGATGAAAAATCCTGTCTGTTAACAGAGCCCTAATGTACATTTTCCATTACTTCTAAAAGGCACATGTGTTAAATGAGTCAGACATAACAAGTCTACGCAAACTTTTTCACACATCCTTAAATAATTACCAAACATCAGATATTTATCAAGCATCGTGTGTTTGGTATATTACTTATTTGATATTACTTTGCTAAAATCCCATTAGTAATGAGCTCTAAACAGGAAATAAAAATCTTTTCTTGAAGACAAGATTTTTGTTTTCTTCTAGATGGTTAATTTATATCTATTTAAGAAATAAATATTCATCATTTTAACTTACTTTAAAAAGGCTTAAAATGCGTTCTCTTATTTTAAAGGTATTTGTACATGCATTTGATTTAAGAATTAGCATGCAGGAAGGATAGCAGCTCTTTCTCTTCTTTGAAGAGGCTTTCCACCTTGGATTAATTCTTCCATTATCCAGACCAGTGCTGGTGATGCATTCATGTGAGTACCATGTGTAAGAGCAATGTCTTTCTTGACTGAAGATCCAGACTCCTCATCTTATGACATTCATCTGTAGATTTGTACTTTTTCTATAGTATTTGCAAAACTTGACCTTTAGTCAGTTAAAGTTCATAGAGTTAATATCTTTGTTGCAGTATTTATCCCTTGCACCTTACTATCTAGTTTTTTGACAGTAACCTTCTGTTTCCCATTTTGTAACCTCTGTGCTTGACTATTGTTTTCTTCCTGCTGCTTCTGCACAGTCTGCAGAAAATGTTTCTCTGCAATTGGGTCCCCAAGAAGATCATCTGAAATTTCTGGTCAATGGCTGCCTCGGAAGTTACCGCTGCCAATAAAACTCTCTAGCCAAAAGCTGTGGGTTAATCCTAGGCAGCAGTTAAACTCCACACAGCCACTTGCTTATTTCAGCTCTCAGTTGGATGGGGAGAGAATCCGACTGGCAAAATTAAAAATGGGTTGAGATAAAGAGTGTTTCATATGCAAACTAGATGGTGCATGTAAAAGCAGAGAAATTAATTCACTGCTTCCTATCAGCAGGCAGATATTTAGCTCTTTCCATGAAAGCAAGGCATCACATACAATTTGTAAAGACAAATGCCTAACTCTGAACATCTACCTTTCTTCTTGCTTTAACCCCTTTTTTATTGACGAACAAAACATTTTTTGGTATAGAATTTCCCTTTGGTCATCTGTCCCAGTTGTGTTCTCTACCAGCTTCTTGTGTACCTCAGATTGCTGGTGGAGCAAGGTCCTCAACACCCTGAACACTGCTTTTCTGTAAGCAAAACATCGGTGTATTATCAACACTGTTTCAGTCACAAATCTAAAACAAAATATCATAAGAGCTGCTATGAAGAAAAGAAACTCAATACTAGACAGAACAAAAAAAATCTAGGAGAGAGATCTGCTTCACCATGCTGATATGCTGACTACTTATTACATAAGACTTGTCCTGCAGCCATATTCTACAGTGTGGCTGAATGTATTTTTCCCTCTGAGTATGCAGGTTTGGGTCTCAATCTGTCATTCCACTTTTCTGCAAGGTGCTGTAAATTGGGTAGGAGACCTCTAAAACTGTAAGGGACTAAGCTTTAAAGAAACAATCAAAGAATAAGTATAAATACGCATTTGATGAAAATGGAATAGGAAACTTTGGACAAAAGGACAAAATGGAATGAACGGAATTCAAACAGGATGTGGGAATGTGTGAAATGCTCATAAAATAGTCTCTGAAAGTGCGGACTAGTGAGAGGATAATACACTGATAAAAATTCCGTGTATGAAACAGAAGAACATGGTTTTGCTTTTGCCAGTGGAAGATGACTGTTTTGCCACATCTGTATTCAGTGATGTATTCAAAATCAGTCACAATTTCTGGTGGTTTTGGTGTGCTAAATTTAAAGTACCACAATGTCTGAACTAGATACCTTGCAGTGGTAGCACAAGCTGGTTGGTTTGGATTTAGTGTCAGTCATGTTGCAGATGTGGCTTTTAAACTTGAAAATCCTACCTAGAGCTTCTAGATGATGTTTTGTTTTCTTTACTGCATGGATAAAAACTTGCTGTGTTTTTGTAAATTGTCTGCTATAGTAGAATGCTGCGCTCATACAACTCCTTTAGATTTAAGAGCAAACTGGATTTTTGAAGACCAGAAGTACAAAAACTCTGATGAGCTTCCAAATAATTTCTTCCAATTAAAAAAATCTTACATTCTTGTTCTCTAGTTTTTATGTGTGAGAGAAGGAAAGACATTTCCAGGCAGTTTTGACTTTAAAGATTTACATTCTATATCCAATAAGGCTGTTGAATATACAATGAAGTATTTTATTGGCAAAGAAAGGTTGTTTCCTTGTTCAAACTACAATAATTAAGACTTATGCTGACAGAAGAAAACTGAATGCATTTTGGGTTCAAAAGCATCCTATTTATAGTCTAGATGCAAAATGATCTCTATTCACTACAATGTTTCATTTGCAGGTTATCATTTTGCTTTCCTCTTGATAGCTAGTCAGCAGATGTTTCCTTCCATCTTGACTCATTGCATTAGTGATAGAAAAACATTTTGCATCCTACTGTGGTACTCTTCATAAGTAGATTTGGAGGACAGAACCAACTTCTTGAAAACACAGGACAGGATAAAGAGAAAATTCTCTTGAATATTTGTATATGATGTATATGTATATGATACTCAACTACTCTAGGTTTGGAATCAAGTAGCTTTCCAAACAGTTGCAGTAGCACTGCATTAATAATCCCTCCTTAATAAAAAAGAAAAATAAATAAATAAACAAATAAAAATATAGTTAAAAAGTAAACAAACCAAAATTAAATTAAAAAAAAAACCAAGAAAATTTTGCCACAGGTCCTTGCATGAAAATTTGCTACTGCTTCACACCCCATCAGTGTTTTATTTACCCATGCAAAGTGAAAGAATGACAAAAATACCAGCCTCTCAAACTTCTGAAACTGCTTTAAAAATATTCTTTGACAGTGAAAGTAGTATTGGTGCCATTTGGTATCTTCTGTGGACATTGTTGCCAATTTGATCCAGTGCTGTTGTTGAAGTTTCATTATCTAAAGCTGTCATATTTCAAGGTTTCAAAGCACGGAGCTGTTTCATAGAATTCAGCAATTCCATGGGCAAGATACATCTTTTTCTTTTCATGTTATGTGATGTGGAAGAGAAGTGATTTATCACTGCTATATTGGCTTACACATCAGCAAATTTGCTGGTTATTTTCCTCAAAATTTCAAAGACTATAAAAAATAATTTAATTTCATTCTACTTATAAAACTGGTTAAGAAGGGGGGGAAAAAAAGGGCATGCTTCCATCTGAAGTAAAAAACACACATCAATTTCTAGAAGTAATTTTTCCTGCTCCTTTTTTGACCAGTGATGGTTAAAATGCTCTTCAGGGATCACTAGGTACTGATCCAGTTGTTAGCGAACTCTTCTGGGCACTGGCTAATGAATAAGTTCTTTTCATACATTCCTTTTCAATATTTTTTCAGTACTTTGTTTATCACATTACCAATAGCTCACTTTTGTCCCACTTCTGGTCTGCACAGACTGGGAGAAGCAGGCAATGGGTAAATTTATAGATGGAAATCCCTTAATTCCCTAGAATCAGGACTGACCCATTTTTAGAGATACTGGTTTGAATGAACACAAAGATTCTGGGAATTTTGTCCAAGCAATTGTGTAATATAGATAAGATGTAAATGTTATTTTGTTTGAAGGTCTGTAGCTACTGCTTTGCTTTGAGATGGGTTAATTTTGCATCTCAACACCATTTCTGAACAGTAATGATCTCTAAGCGACATCTTTTTTCTGTGTTGTGAATTAGAACTACTTTTGTTAAAACCCCATTAACTTAGAAGTTATTAAGCCATACACAGCCAAATATTTTTGTCAATACTCATTTTCACACTTTATTATGGTCCATGCTAGATGCACAGAACAGGAAAATCCAAAGAAGTCAATGCTGACATTAAAGGGTACCATCTAAAGCCACTCAGATAGTTAAAGAAACCCTTACATAACACAGCTCTAAACCACCTTGCACAGACTACGCAAAAAAGGTTCAAGTCAAAGGCAGCCTGCAATGCAGTAATTGTAAAATCCACAGAATTCAGTGGAAAAACATTAATAGGCCTCTGTAAGAATACCAAGGCTTCACATTTACACTATTATCACCATCTTAAAGTGGAAATTAGGCCAAGAACAATACACGTTCTTAGAAATCACCCTAATGTTAATGTCTTGCACATCCTTCCAGCACAGAGAATGCTTTATTAACATGTACTTAATACTAATTGCTAATAGACTGTATTCCCTTACAAAGTAATCTTGGAGACAAAACCTTCCTTCTTTCAAAACAAGCAGACAGAGCAAGACTTGTTTTCTTTGAGTAGATTGCCATACCGTGCCCCTTGTAGCTTGCCACAATACACCTGGTGTGTTTATTCATCTAAAACTTTTCCGATGTGTTTAAAAATTCTACCCCAGTATTTGGATAGTAGACCCACAGATTCACATTTTTATTCACTGCATATGCAGTGCATAACAGAAGTCAGTCAAAAGTCATGACGGCTTGCCACAATTTCAGTAACTGAATTCTGACAAGTGACTTTGGATTTACCCCAGGAGCTGCCAAATCTACAGGAATTAAAAGTTCACAATTCACATAAAATGTGTGGGTATTCTGCCCTCTTTGAGTTGCACCTATGAATGGAGAGAAATCTGTTTTCTCAGTGTAGTGATGCATTTTTAAAGCACAAAGGGGAACTCCAGAGGCATGTAAAGTCTGATAATTCCAATTAAGCTCATGAAGCTATGAGAATTTATGCCAAAGGGTTTGCCTATGCTGCCTCAAAGCTTGCTGCTGAAAATGATATATATTTGCTAACCTAAGAATGTATTTTCCATTGTCCAGCAGCTAGTTAAGAAGATTAATGACTGCTTTGTAGTTTCAATTAAACTCCTTTATCACCAACAGGGACCAAACAAGTTTTGATTTCAAAAGTACTGCTTAAGAAAGAAGACCAGGGCTGCATAACACTGACATTTTATTAGAATTCATCTGTAACAAATGGAACTTGTGTCAGCAAAGAACTGATTTTCATACAGACTTTCTTTTGCCACCAATGTAACCAAGTAAGAAAATAAAAAGCACGCCTTTCATTCTGTAAAACATTTACGCGTACTACTAATTAGAGGTAATTGTATCTTTTTAAACAAGCCATTTTACAAGGTAATTTTTTAAGTTTTTCAGTCTATGCATCCAAAACAAGAGCAAAGAACACAAGTTTTTATTATCTTTGTAAAGACACTCCAAGCTTGAATGGCAAAGCCACATAACAGATGGTTATAATGAGACCTGCAGCCTTCTGATATCTGTGGAGTATCAGGGCACCAAGGGAAAAAAAAAAAAGAAAAAAAAGAAAAAAAAGAAACAGAAACATAAGAAAAATGGGAGAAAATAAAAGGAAAAAAAAAAGCAGTTGCTTTTTTTTTTCCTTTTTACATGTTCTGTGTCTTTTAAATACATACAAGTGGATTTTTTAAGCAATTTCTTACAGATGGGTTCAAGTTATATTGGGTGTAGAATCAATAGGGCAGTGCATAGTACAAAGGTATATATAGAAAGTGCAAATCTCCTTAGAGGGTCACTCCTTCCCCCAGCCATCTTCTCTGCTATCTAACCACTCAAATAACTTTTTAAAAAAGAGCTAAATTAAAATTCTGTATAAATCATTTTCATATATTTTGTGGTGTTTTTCCCCATTGCAACTAATTACAAAATTAGACATAACTACACATACAAACGTAAATAATAGCACCGTACTGGTTATGCTGATGAAACCAATTTTAAGCTTGGAAATGTATGATGTATGTAGACAAAGATGCTCACAATTTAATTTAACTAGAATGCATATATTAGAATACAGAAAGTGGAATGCACATCAATGATGCTAAGAGCTATCATAAGAAACAAAAAAACCTGAAACGAGTATTTAGTTGTACAACGGTTTTTCTCACAAATTGGCTCTGCTTTTTTGTATTTCTTTTACTCCCTTATTTTCATTGGAGCTTGCAAGACTGTCTGCTAGAGAAAATGCACTGATCTTTATACAGATACAGTGTTCAGAAACCTTCCTTAGTCTGTGTTTTCAAAATGACACTTTATTTTGTATTTCTGATTTCATATATTTGAATTAAAGAACATGACCACACTACATAACCTGGCACTTCAATAATTATTTCAATGTATAAATCAAGAAAGAAGAAGAGAAAGAAATATAGTGCACATTCTTCTCTGGTTCAGATGTGAGTTATAGAATCTCATTCTGAGGTAGCCTTCTATAATACTTCTATTCCATATATATATATATTTATATTTCTGTTTTGATTTTTTTGGTTTGGGTTTTTTTAAATTACAAAAGTGCTCAAATACAATTGCTGGAGTTTGGTCTTTCTTAGTTTTATTTCTCATAGGAGTGGGAAAATTGGAAGAAGAACAAAAAATGTTGAGGCTACATTGAGAAGCCACAGCAATGCTCCTATTTGGAACCCCAAAAAAAGCATCCTTTGATGCTGATGTACTGACAATGGCAGAACATATGGTGACCAAGGTCAATGTAAATGGCATTCTAGAAAGAGTCTCAAGAAGTACTTTGTGCTGTTTAGAGAATTTTCCTTTGTCCTGGAATAAAATCTGTCAATCTCCAGTATGTCATGTGGGCTTAGTCTTGCTAGCCTTACATGAGCCTCCCCACTGAAAGCAAGGGTTTGACTTCAGCAATCTGGTGACAAAAGTGAATGAGCCGGACTTGGCCCAAAATCAATTTGGAAAAAAAATAAAATAAAAAAAAAGAAAAAAAGAAAAAAGAAAAAAGAAAAGAAAGTTAAAAAAGAAAAGATGCATAAGCACTGCTGATGTCAACTACTGCTACTGTGCTGCTACATTACGGCAATGACAGATAACACTATAACGAGTGACAAAGCGGGTTTGAAAAGCTAACCAGAAAAAGACTTCCAATTTGTGGGCTATTCTGTTATTAGAAATATGTAAAGATAAAGGGCTTTGACTACCTATGTGTTTTGGGTTATCATTTATTACCATCCATACTTGATTAGAAACTGGTAATGCATACTTTTCAAAATTGTCTGGTACATGTATTAAAATGTTTGAAAAGAACAACAGAGATATAAACAAACTAAACTAAATACAAATGAAGGCTAACTTAAAGAAATACTATTCAAAATAGGCATCAAATATAAGGCACTCTAAATGTAAAATTAAAATAAACCCCAGCATCCCCAAACAATGCTGTATGCCACAAAACGTTTGATTTCACAGAGCAATGTGTGTTTGGCTTTGCCCTGTTACATACGATAAATGTAAATTATATAGCGCACACTATAGACAGTATACTATTGAATACAGTTTTAAAACATCTTAATACCTAGTATATTACAACATTCTCCCCTCCTAAAGGGATATGCACTGACCTTTCCCACATGCACACCTCCTACATTTAATAATATGATTTCTTATTGCACTATAGTGTTACAAATATTGAACTTCACTTGAAGCCTAAATCACATACTCTCTGTGCGTGTGTGCATGTGTGTGCTCTGTATGTGTGCAAGTGTGTGTGTTCAAGTGGAAATGCGGGTAGAAATATTATTTGGGATAGAGATGGCGTTCAAATATCAATGATGTGCATTCCTCACTTCCCTTTGAAATAGAAGTTTATGGACCTTAAAAATGCAGAGATGATCAAATTGTAGGTTGATACAATTGTATGCGGAAAAACTTTCCCAATACTTTGAATAAATCCAGGTACGGAAGGACTGATACGTTTATGTGCATGTGTGTGAATTTGTATCTGAATCCATCTGTATTCTCTGCAACTAAACAGAGAGTCAGGAAAGGGTAGACAGTAATACATATATATATATATATATATATAAAAGAGAGAGGGTGTGAGTGTGCATGTGCATATGTGCGTGTGTGTGGATGTGCTAGCAGCATCTTTATACTTTGCGCCTCCCTGTTGATTCCAAAAGAAACCAAAAAGCCCCATTTTGATTTAACTGATTACAATGGATATTTTCTTAAAGAAAAAAAAAAAAAGCCCAAATAAAACTACAAAATTAATATCTAACAAGACTGTGGTACTGTAGGACTGCACAAAAATGTGCAAATTTTCCAAGTATCTAACATTTCTACAGCACAATATTACAGATAACAGTTCTACAGCTTAAAAAAAAAAAATCTACATTTTAAAACAAAAATATTAACAGTTATGCAACCTTTTCTTTAATTCACTTCATTGAATGATAAACTCTTGTTAAAAAAAGGAAAAAGTTTACACAGTTAAAAATGAAGCACAGGTCAGCAGTATCTTTACAATACTAAAAAACTAAATCAAGGACTTTCTTTTTAAACATTCCCACATTTTCCCTAAAGTGTTAGGATGAGCAGTATGATGGGAAAGGGTGATGTTGAAGTAAAGAGTCCGCTTTGTTTGAGAAGCCAGAACCCAACCTCGCAACAAACGTCTTGCACTGAACTGCAGTTCTCAAAACTCCTCTTTGCAAAAGCATGTAATCCTGAATAAGATGATCACTCTTTCTGATTAATTTCCTCTTCCCTTTAACTTCAACCAATGTCGAACCCTTGAGGTATCTGTAAATGAGATCCTTCAGACGCCTCAGTGGTCAGGATTCTTTTATTATGGTTAGGTTATTAAACTGTGAATTCTTGGTCCACATGGAATACTTCTTGTTGGGTGGGGTATTTTTTTTTGTTGGTTTTTTTGTTTTATATATCCCCAATATTTTTGTTCATTTGTTTTTTTTTTATTATTTTTTGTTTTATATATCCCCAATAATTGCTCCTTAGCTAAGAGTTAAGAAGTACTTCTAAAGCACATCGTATGGCTCAGAAGCGGCTCTCTGGATCTTAAAGGGCCTGCAATAAAAATCCACATTGGGTTTTTATGTTGCATAGTGATCAAAGCTGCCCAGATACTCCAGTGCGGCTCGATAGCAGAACTGGTATTGATCCTAGAGAAAGAAAAATAGAAAACAAATGCATCAAAAAGTCAGCTTGTTGGTTGGTTTCTAGTTTCTTTCAAATAATAGTGAATATTTTGTAGCTACAAACAAATATACTGCAGAGGCATCTGCAGTTCAGCAATATTCACTTGCTGACATCAACAGAAAACCACTCTGAGTTATAACAGATGAAGACAGACGCCCATTTAATTCAACAACGTTTTTCACAGAATGCAGCTTCTTTTTGTGCGGAGACTATATACCCACCTACTGACAGTCTGTTATTCTGGATGAAAACAATATCAGCATAAAGCTCTCTTCTAATAGGAACATGCTAGGATGCTTTCCCCCATGTACTTGAAAATAAGTAGCAAAATATACAATGAATTCTACGGCTGATACAACACACTAAATAAAAACGTCCATCGTAGCCTTAATAAGGAATGCTGCATGGAAATCTGCCAGGTTAAAAATCATGTTAAGAAAGCAAAGGGAATCCCAACCTTTCAGTAATAAAATCTTAGATGAAGATGTGAAGATAACTTGGCCTGTGGTAAGAAAAGGGCCTAAGAGAGAAATATGGTGCTAAAGGACCTTATTCACATAAAGCAGACTTCATTTCAACTATACCTCGAAGCAGAGAGAAGTTTAGTGTGGTAAGAAATTTGCTTATACCTCTGATGAATCTGATATTTATAAGTTTGAGTTATTTTCACCTCCATAAAGCAGTCCTTTTGCACATTTATGTTACACATTTACACTAAAATGGCACATCTGAGTACTTATTTCCAACTGCCATTCTTGGTGTAAATGATAAAAAGTGAAAAATAAAAGAACATAAAAGAAATTGCTCAAAAAACCCAGGGATGACTGTTTATTTTTCTGATAGTGCTATGTGGTAACTACAGAGGTTGCCATTGTTAAGATCACAATTAAAATTCTTTTGGAAACCAGGAAACTAATCAGATATTTGCTTCACTGAGGTGGTATGATTACTAATAGTTCATTTCTGTTGGAATAGTTAGAACAGTGGCAGAATGCATTTCACATATGCCTGAATTTTAAGTGTATGTGTGGTCCACGTGAAAGTACTTTGTTTAATAAGGATTAGATTTCCTTGTGGTTTATAATGCTGAATGAAAGATCTGTTTGCCACAGAATCCTGGAAGAAACGCATACACAACACTACTTCCTTTCAGCAGTAGGGATGAAGGGTAGCATGCAGAAACAAATCAAAGCAAGGGGAGGGAGCATATATTGCAGAACTGAACTCTGCATTTGTCAGGTAGACTCAAAGAAGCATAGTTTTCTGTATACTGTGGTTATTTCTTGGAGCCAAAATGACAGAAAGCAGACATTTTTCATTTTGCTTATCCAGAAGAATGATGGTAATGGGAAAGAAATGGAATTAACTCTTCAGTATGGTCACAGTGATTTACTTGGCTAACTGACAAGATTAAAAATAAATATCTGTATTTTTCATATAAGTTTTTATGAAGTTGTCTTCTTAAAAGTAAAACTATCTAGCTTCTACTGGACAAGTTAAATTTTCTTGTGGAAAATGGCAAACTGTGGGGAACCCTTTAAAATTTCACGGACTTATTTTAAAGGCCAGTGCCAATCAAATTATACTGAATTAATGTGTGATCTAAAGTATTTCCCTTTTCTTTCCCTTTTTGCTGGTTACCCTAACCAATTTGCTCCGGCTTAGTCCAGGTTTTCTGCTCAGAAATTAAGGCAAAAATTAAGCACAACATTAACTGATAATGTTCAAGCATTCTTTATGACATGAAAGAGTTTCAAGCATATGGGCCTGCCCAGGTAACTGGTTTATACTACTTATCCCTTTATTTCTCTATACCACACTTACTAGCATAGAAACTATTTATTCTATAGTTATTCTGAATGCTGAATTTACCATTATGATTTCCAGGCCAAAGAGCCACTTGCTTGGTGACACAAAGTTAAGAGAAACATGAAAATAATACAGTAAGAAGTCTGAAGACATGATCAAGACCCTGCTCCCAGGGGGAAAAAAATAAAAATAAATAAGTGGGTTCATCTGCAGAGACAATTTGCTTACTTCTTTACTGCCACACATTTCTGTCAGGGAACAAGGATCAAATAAAAATGTGTGATGCATCACAAAAGGATTTTCTCAACTACCATAATTAAGGGTCCACTGCTGAAATTAATTTTTTCTTCCTCATCTTACAGTAATTACTGCAGTAACAGGAAATAGACCTTGCAATACCTTTATGGCAGATTTTACCCTGTGGTCATAGGGCCCATATATGACTTCAGATGTAACAGTAAGCATGTTTTATACAGTCTCTATCTGTGCATTTTTTTGCTTGTGTGAATACCACTTCTTTTCCATCACCATTGCAATATGGATACTGTTTTTCTCACCTCTGTCTGTACCATGGCTGGCCGCTGTGTCCTTAACATTTTGACAGTCTGGAAGATGTCTACAACACCTTCATATCTCATTCTTTCTAACACAATGCTCAGGGTTATGAATACTCCAGTCCTTCCAACACCCGCACTGTTGAAGAGAATAAAACAAAAAAATCAAATGTTAATTGACAGTTAATGCTGAAAGAATTGGCTGACAAATTCTTTGTGGTTACAACACACCATATGTGTACAAATTTCTGTATGGGGAGAGGCTCACTAAGCAAAATTCCACAGCAAATTACCACATTGCATTCAAAAGAATAACTGCACTCAAGATAACTTTACATCTGCTGAGTATATCCCGACTCTCCAGACTTCCTTGCAAAGGGACTTGGTTTGTTCATCCAGATATACAATAATCAGTGCATGGTGAAGGCAAATGTTAACATTTGTTGCCAATAACATACATTGGAACTGACAAGAGAAAATGAAGCCAAAATGCATTTTATTGCTTGCTTTACTTTAGTTTGTCATGTATATGCACTGTTTTGTACATCTTCACTGTGCTATTTTACCTTTTGCTTTGAGTTAGACGTATGGATCTTCATTTAATATTGAACTTCTTCATGCATGCTCCAATTCAAATAATGGACAGAGAAAAATCTCAATTCAGGTCTTATTCAAGTCTGGCAGTCTGGATCTTTGCTTTCCAATGCCGAGATGCATTTACCATGTTTGTCTACATTAGTCTTAAAAATCTTCTTTGAGTATGTGTGGCTTGTTTGCTTTCTGTTCTGTCCTGGGTTTCTGATATTAGCTTTAACTCTTAAAATGTGATGGAAATTCTTGCCATTAATAGAGCCAGTAGCTGTTAGCTTTTTAAATTAAACAATCACTTATTCACGAGGATTATCCTTTGCAAAAGGGACAAGTAACTACACAGAAAAAAGACTTTGTAAGTCTGAACTTCTACGGGTGGAAACTATGCCCCTTGTCATCTCACTGCTGATGCTAATAATTTCATAAGGTTTTCTCCAGCTAGATAACCTCGGGAAACTGAATATTTATGAAAACTATTCACCAGACAGATGAATGAAATAGCATAAACAGAGAAATCCTGAAGAACTCTTGAATGTTCATATGAACTATGACAGAAATCCAGAAAATTCATGAAACTAGTGTGGAAATTGAGTGTTCAAATTTTATGTTGGAATTTTAGTGTTTGGTAGAGGTCAGTACACTTCTAGGGTTATTAGGCACATGCAAATGTATGTATCAATTCTGTATAGGCTTTGTGCCTTCAGATTGCTGAAGCCAAAGGACAACTGACACACCATTTGACAGAGTATCAGGCTGTCAGTAATGATTTACCTGTATGGGACTACAGCAGTCCTGGACATCTAAAGCAATTGTAGTGTAAAGTACCTGATGAGGTAAATTAGACAGCTAGCAATTAAGAAACATCCAGAAAAATCCTGGAACCTGCTCGTTGGAATGAGCTTGAACTTTACACACCCGATGACAGCGTGATCTAAACTAAGTAGCCCAGAAAATGACCACGAGAATGAAGGCAGATTACCATTTTACATTCTCCCTGTTCCCACTCCTGCTCTGCCATTACAAAAAAAAAAAAAAATAATAAAAAAAAATATCTAAATATGTGAGAAGATTTTTGGCCTCATTCATTAGACATATCTTTTTTACTTAAAAAAAATTACTCAGAAATCTTCAGCAAAAGGAAGAAATTTACTTGTCGTCTTGTGTACTTAAAAAATCAGCAAGTACCTGAAGACACTACTTAATGAGGAAGAGAGACTAATATGGAAAGATGTCAATGCTTGGAAATCCTGACTGGTCATCAAGTGTAATGTCTTAGAAAAGCCTGTGAGAAATTGATCCTGTTCCCTTTAAAGTGGCAAGCATACTTCAACATTGGAACAATTCCAATCCAAAAATGCTTAGGATTTCTAGAGTAAAGTTAAAGAAATCCTTCATGGTGCATTATGAGTCGCAGTGATTTATAATTTAGAGTAGAAACTTAAGTTAAGATGCTTTAATGAACTATGTGGATGTATTGATTTTTTGTAAGAGAGAATAGGTTATTACTACAAATACATCTTGAATGCATTCTGGGAAAGGTCTTCCTCACTCTTGAGCTAAAAGCTGGAATAAAATGACTGTAAATATCGAATATCAGTTGAAGTGAAAATTTTGCTTCAAGATGAACAGTCCTTTGCTCTCTTAAATAGTTTTAAGTATCTGCCTCATGAGGTTAGAAATTTTTTAATTCAATACACTGACCTATTTGTAAAAATGATAGGGAAAGAGAAAATTTAGGATTGTGGGTTGTGAGGGTTTACTGTGTAACAGAGAAAGCAAACTTGTGAAAACTGTGTGCAGTGTGAAGGAGACCCAAAGGAAGTGACACTAGGGGAGTTTTAATTCACTGTAAAACCCTGCATAGTACAAACTGGAGGCATTATTTTAGTAATTCCTCAGAGACTAGGAAATTGCAGGTATCCATGATCTTCTGCTTCCTGAAAGAAACAAACTTACTAATTTGCTAGGGACTCTTCCTATTCATGTAAGCTGACTAGCACTGGCAATGATGATTAGCATTACCAGTCCCTAAATTGTCATTAGAATAATGATAAAGACATTTAAAAACCACGCCATGATTACTTACACTGGATTTGACTTTATTTCTAGCAAAGTCAATAGTAGAAATCCATAATGTTACCATGAAATATCAAACTATTTGGGAGGGATATGTAATGTACTGTAAGCAGTATTCACTGTAGTCACAAGTGGACCAGTCTGCATGGTACAAGGAACCTAGGAGAATATTATCACTTCACTTTCTTATCTGCACAAAAGCATAAATATCACTTATTACTTCTGTCCTCTCAAAACTCATGAATGTTGAAGAATAAGGCTTACTCTTATCTGGGTTGGCCTTCATCTCCCTTGTGTAATGAATCCTAAAGAGTGCTCTGCAATGCTATTCTCCTCAGCAGGCCATAAAGAATTTTGGCCATACAAGAAAAGTAGGATCCAAGTATTCCAATACATTCATTTTATCTATCAGATTAGGGGATCATAAAGAACTCAACTTCTGTTTACTCCTGACTTTGGAAAGATGAGATTTTTTATCTGTTTACTAGGCTCCACTAAACTCATTCATTTGTCTTCATGATAGTACTGGGTCACTACTTGGCTTTTAGTAAGGATTTGCAACTTGTGTCAGTATTTTGCATCTCTGTTATATAAATAATAATATTTAACCTACAAAAAAAAATAATTTCATTTTACAAAAATGAGTATCTAAAATCCTAATGGAATTTATAGAAAACAATTTATTAAATAAGAGATAAAAGATAAAGATATTATTTTTGGCCATCTGCTATAGACTCTAGAATACTGTAGAGAAAATAAATAAAAAATACAAGAATATTAAAAAGCCCATGCTGGATTATTCATAACCCCCGTGCAAGCTGTTTTCATCTGCATATCAATTGCAAAGGAATTGAGGGAAGTCATCACATCAAAAATGAGCACTAAGTTCTGAAGTCAGAACTCATCAACTCAAACCTCAATTACTTCTTTGACAGGCAAAATTTCTAAACACCGCTTTCTATTCCATTCCCTTTCTTGAAATAGCTACCTTTTTTTTTTTTTTTGCCTCATCTTGATTGCTACTAATGTGCCACTGAGGTGTAACTAGCTTGTTTGCAGCTAATAATTCCCACCAAAGTAAAAGCCTCATTTTTAATTTCTAGTGGAAAAAATATCAGATGCAGCAGCCCATGATAAGGCTCTTCCTATGCCTTCTGTGTGCAGCACTGACCAGACTGCTTTTATGCATTAGAGGCATTTATAAGTGAAAAAAAAATCATATGTTTCCACATATATCTGAAGAACCATTTCTGTATAAATGGAATATCACTAAACAGTTCACATTTCATAAAGCTGTTCATTGTGTTCCTTTTTGGATCCTCTATTTGATTACATTTTATGATAGTTCACCTCTGAAATGTTGTTTAAATATGTGCTTTTGCCACAATCAGCAATCAGCTGTAGGAAAAAACCAAATCTGCATATAGCATATTTTTAAGCTTTGTTTACTTACCTGCAATGAACAGAAATTGGTCCATCCTGACCAAATTGCTCTTTTGTTTTATGCACTTGGCCTATGAAGTCAATAAATCCTTCTCCAGACTTTGGCACTCCTTGTTCTGGCCAGTCAGTGAACTGGAACTGCCTCACTGTTCGGGACTGACCATCCTTTAACAAAAGACACAAATAATGTATCATAAAGACATGTTGCTGTGGCTTAAAGTTGGTCAGCCAATAATCATAAAGACAGTCACAAAGTAAGGATGTTGCACATTTATGGAAACTCTTTCAGCTGCAGTACTACTGTCTGAAGCTTTTGTATTGGCTCAGAAGTGTTATTGTTAGTTTCATTAACAATATCGCATGGATTTGTTTCCACACTACATAGGAGAGTCTTCTGGCATTCTTAAGGTGTAAAAAGTGTGCCTGAGCCCAAAGGCATAAAAAACCTACGAGGGTATATGACTTTTTTGGTATGTTATGTTTTGAATCCTGTGGACTACAAATTCTTTGATATACAGATCAGGCAGAATAAGGTCATCTAATCTGACTTTCCATTTCTGAGATATGCTCAACTACTTCACAGTAGGAATATCTTTACTGGTAAGACTTGTTCAGGCATTGCCCTCCTTGCAAATGTTTTCTCTAATAGTAAGCTGCTTTCTATGAGGTGAAAATCTTTCCTGGAAGATGGATAAACAAGCCACTTGTTTAACAAATTTCCCTTCAATAATGGTTCATTTAATTCATTAAAAGCTTGGAGTCAGTTAAAATTGAGAGGAAGGGCTTCCTTTCTCAAAACAAGCCATCTGAAGCTCTTCAATCTGGATGGTTAGGAATACTAACAGCACTTCTTTAAAGCGCAGAATACAGCATTGTAATTATTTTTATAATGAAGTCACTAGAATTACTAAATGCCAACTTGTGCTATATGCCTATTTGATGGGTAAAAAGTCAGGACAGAGAAAAAAATGCAATACAAATGGATAAAGCAAATTTATTCTTCATTTTCAAACATTCATGATATTGACACTCAATCTGCACAGCTGAAATGCTCAAAATCATGGCAATATGAGCTACTGATGTTAACTGGTGTCTCTAGACATTATGTTTTCTAAGCATTCACCCTCTCATGTCTTCAAAATAGTCTTCTATTAAGTGAAACTCATGAAAAATTTAAATTTCTTCTAAGTAAAAGTCATGGAAAATTAAAATTAATTCTGGAGATTCCTCTCAAAAAGCATCAAGTTATGCTGGAGGCAAGAACAATCTTTCTCTCTTTTTCCTTAGAGCACAAGCAGTCAGCTGTTACAGACCTTTGAAATTATATAAAAGTGATTTTAAATATAACCAAAGGAAACCCCAATACTTTGCTTTTATATATCCTCTGGTTGTGTGGGATTTTGCCTCCTGTGGCTCAGATGAGTGAGGAAAACAGAAAAAATATGTGTGTGTACCAGCAACTACTCCATGAGAGGACACCCATACTGTTTACTTCCACTAGACCCCTCTGACAATTTAGTAGTTTGTATCTATGAAACACTTTTCTCCACTTAAACAAATACGTAATGTTTGAAAATATTCATCCAATTTGATTTCTTGTGGGCATCAACACAAAGAACTAAATGTTTACTTCCAAAATAGTATTTTGTTAATACAAACATCTCTGATAATGGTCTCTGTAATCCCACTTTCCTCCAAAAAAGACATAATGAAATTGCATCCTCCAGATTGCTTTAGACACGATATAAATTTATCAAGAAGACACAAGTACAGGTTGATTCCCTTCAAAGTAACCTTCCATTCTTCTAAAGTAAAGAAAAAAAACCCCTGAAATCTGACTTACTTGCAATATATTGTTAAGGAGATGGAAACTCTTCAGCAATTTCTGACCCTGATAGGGCTTAGACTAAATAACAATAACTTTTTCCAAGTAGAAAAAGTAAGAAAGACACTAATTAACTTAAGTCCAGTCTGTCGCTGGAAAGTTAACATATTTCTATGTCATAAATAGATGTAACGCTAAATATTTATTTTTTAGTGTGTATATATCAACTGTATTAGTATGTTTCATGATTTCAGTAACTCAGTATTCCAGTGCAAGTCTGTGAAATGAAAATAACCTCTGTTATTTAATGTTATTTAATGAGCAGAGAAGTAAAGTTACTTAGTCTATATTAGACTAGCATTAAAGCATATTGGGAACTGATCTGCAATTTCTTACAGTTCCCTCTGCTACTGACATTATAAAGAGTGTTGATTTCTTTTAATGAGATTCTTGCCAACAGTGGTCCAGATACAAATGCCAAATTTTATTAAAATCTTTACTTTCAAATACTGTGACAGTTTGCACAGTTAGTTATCAAAATAAATACTTTCAGATCCCTATGTGGCACAGAGGGCTTTCAATGTATCATCCTATTTGGTGACTGACCGTTTGGATTTATTCTTCCTCCTCACTGGGGATATTAAATTGTCTTTTGATTAGGCTTTAGAATTTTTAATACTCTCTTACAGCCATCTCTAATAGTTTAGCCTGAAATAAGACTGGCCCAACATATTGATCTCTTGAGTTTCCAGAGAAAGTGAGTACAAAGCAGTCCGAAGCAATAACTTGAAAACGTTACAGAGGTCAATTTCACCGTATGACAACTCACAGTTCAGTTTCAGAAATAACAGAGAGTTCCACACCAGACACTTGCTGCTGGCACCTACACAGGTACAGTGCCTCATTTTTTGTCTCTGTGGAAGAAGTGGTCATCTTGGGTCTGCCAGAGCATGGCTGGTATTGTAACAGTACAGATGGATTTGGAGATGAGAGGGAGACAGGATGTTTGCAATCACTCCAGCATTTACTCTTTGAGAGCAACAATTTAGTCAAATGATCTCAATTACTGCGTGTGACAGCCACAAAAGCCTAACTAGAAGAAAACGGTAATGTACATTTTGGTAATTTTTTCCCATTTCTTCCAGTAAATTTGAAAGGAGCTATAGTTTTCCAGCATAACCAGAAAATTTAGGATGGTGCTGTCAGCTCACCGTGGAGCTTAAAAAAATTTGGATCATCATGATATAGAGGTTTTTAAAATTTGAGAAGCAACAATATGTAATAGTAAAATGACATACCGGAACTTTCAATGTGCTTAATGCTTTCTAAAAGAGGTTTATTAATACAATATAAAAAAAATTATATTAAGTTATGGCTAATTTAATTATTTAATTATATGACCCTTTTTTACTGATTTGATGTAGGTAAGCAATTCTTAAATATTTTACTTCAGTACAAAGTCTTGAAAAAACTTCTTTAAAATACAAAGTATCTGGAGACACTTCAGTTACTGCTATGGCGTTTTGTTATAACTAATTTTGTCATCAGAGCTTTGTGAACTATGTCACGTAATAACTCTCCCAACTTGAAAAAATATTTTTAATAGGAAATCAATTAAAACTATCAGGACATTTGCAGTAAAATTGGATTTGACTATCTCTGCTTACAAGCATGTTTAAAGACTGAAGCTAGGAGCTTGTTCTCACTTTTCTTAAGCACAAATGGGCTAGAAAGCTATGAGTCATAATCCTTACTACATTTCAAACAGAAAGAACATCAAATCCAATGTATCTACAGTTTCTTTACAAAAACCTACACTTAAATCTCATTTGCCAAACAAAATGTTCATATGCTAACTTGATACAATACTAACAATACTACCCAATTTTACTTGAAGTTCACATTAAAAGCAGTGGTCTAATTAACCATGAGGAAATCTAGTATTTTGGATGCTGACAGGCAACTCTGAGTAGACATTCATATTATTCCTGCTATTTTGCTTGAACAAGTATAATTCCACAGTGCCTAGAGAAACAAAGGCTGACAGTATGTTTTGCTGCCATGCAGACTGAAGTGCTAGAAATCAAGTCTGAGAATTGAATGCCAAATATATATTAAAAGTTTATGTATGTTTAATCTTATATGAGTACTCAGTTTTGGACTCAGGAATTCAGATAAGAAATGAAGTATGAAAATGAGGATGCTAAGGTCACAGCTGCATGTATCTACTCTGCAGATATACTAGAGAGCTGAAAATATGCTATATAAAAATTCAAATTATAATGTGCAAAGCTTGTCCAGCTTTTCATATGAATGTCATTTGCTCTGCAGTTTTAAAATCCCAGTGTATTAACCTTCATACTCAGTCAGCCTCAAGGGTGGTGCAAAACAACAAAACAACACTCTATATGGCAAAAATTGTACCCAATAATGATCAAGGAGAAAATGAGGAAAAAGAGGAAAATGGTCCTCAAATAATCTAATGTATTTTGGCACAAATAGTTCAGAACTATAAAATTTTGCTGCCCAGATGCTAGATCTGAATGAAATCAATCATTCCTACAGAAAGATCCCATTTATTTAAAAATAACTTAATCTGCTTTTTTATTATTGCAAATATAAAGTATATCTCCAGGGTTTTCTTAATAATAACAAAAAAAATAAAAAACCCTGAACACAGAAAAATAAAGAAATAGACATTGTCTTTTAAACTTATGGGAACAAGTGTAACGTTATGTTGACTTACCCTTGCATCTGTAACCTTGAATTCCCTCAGAATATACTGTGGCATATTGTACTCTGCCATTGGATCGACCACAAAATACTGATATCTGGCTGAGCGCTCTGCAGGCCAGTACTGGTGGCATTTTTCCTATGAAATAACAAAGTAAAATACATTTTAAAATAAATAAGGTATACAAAGTAAAATACATTGAGAGCACTACCATAAAGTGTTATGAGCTGTTTTTCACCCAGCTAAGTATAATAATCATGGAAAATGCCAATAGTGACAGGAACGGGAGCTGCTTGTGTTGGTGTAGAGCAAAACATTATCTCTAATACTGCATTGCAAAGGGTTTCTCATTGGCTGCTGTTTATCTGAAATTGCTTATACTTGTGCTCAGTTTTGTTGTCTGTCAGTGACAAGAGCTATCCTTAATCTAATTTTCAATGGTGAATTTTTATCTCAATTTAAATCTTGATACCACCTTCAAGTTTTCCTCCTTTTTGCTTGTTGGAGCAAGTCCCCCCAGCCTCAGTCACAACTATCTCTGCATCCACCAGCCATGTCCTGAATAATCCCTACTCTCTCAGACACGTGGCCTAACTCAGATTTCAGTTATCAGATGCCAGATTTCTCTTGACATAATCCTTTCCAGATAGGAGACTGCTTCGTTCTTTCCAGTTTACAGAGTACCAATGACAATAGTTTAGAACTGTAGACTGGGGGCTGAAACTTTAATGTGCAGCACAGAACACAGAGAAGACATTCAGATCTAAAGAACACCACACTTTCTTTTAACATTTTTACAAGGAGATGCTGCAAAAGTGAAGTTTCCAAATAAGAGATCTTTCTTTTTCAACAGACAGCAATGGTCTCTCTCTGCATACCTTGGAATATCAGCATGCAAACCCACTTGCTGAATCTTAGTGTGTCCCACAAAAATATGACATGTCTAGTTTGTCTATTGCAACACATCAGCAGGATGGAAAAACTTATACCTAGTGACCAGGAAGGCAACTCCCACTTCAAAAGGAGAAGGAACCAAAATTCTCATCTTTAGATGTTCCCAACAATGAAATATTTTAATGAAAACAGCTTCTGTAACCAAAACTTTAATAAAAGAATATTGGAGCAGTACTTACTCTGCCCATTTCTCGTAGCTTAGTGAGCATGACCACAATTGTAGAATTATGCTCCCAGAGCATTCTCCAGAAGTCTTCAGTTGTTTCTGCTAAAGGACCCTGTGTAGCTATGTAAGCTTGTTGTTTCCTATGTTAAAAAAAAATAAAAATAAACAACGTAAATTAATAGTATTATTTTAATCAAAAAAGTGGATTTATTCTCAAATTCTTTGCTTATATGAAAACATTATCTGGAGGGAAAATATATATACTATTAATAATGAGCACATTAAAACCTTATTATGATTGTTTAATCAAACTATGGCTTTTTATTTTTAGAACTTTGAGAGGAAAATTAGTCGGTTAATATTATGATGTATGACTTTATCATTATTATTTAAATTTTAATGCAACTCTAATTGCTCAATTTTGTATGCTGTAAAAAGCACTTAAAAAACACTTAGTTGTGCCGGTTCATTTTATAGAAATAACTGTCTAACAATCTATTAAGTTTAGGAATTATAGCATCACGCAGTTTCTTTATTAACTTCATTTCAACAGTCTGATGCCTCCAGCAAAAAGTAAGGCAGGAAGAAAATTTGGGAATGGAGTGTGAATTTCCAGGCCCTAATAGCCTATTGGTGGAAGCTGCAAAGAAATCATTGAAAGATTGGATCAGCAGCTTTAAAAGATGATGACCAGTTTGTGCAGTTCTAGCTTCTTCCAAGCAACAGAAACACCTTTGTGAGTGTAGTGGAGATGAAGTTTATTTTCAGTTATGATCTGAGGCTCAGAAAATTATCTATGCGGTTATGGATACTCAGGCACCCCTAAACTGTGGCAAACATAGGGAAACTGCCATTTCCTTTCATGCCTCTTTCAACCAGCTGCTCTAAGTCAGCTGAAGGGATTGTTCCCTGCTGTCACAGAGATGCTGGTGGGCTGCACATCTGTTTACATACAAAAGGTTTTTGGTAGTTAGGTCAAGCTTAGTCAGGGTTCCAGGACCATGACACACAGAGTGTATCTCCTGCATCTGATTTTTACATATCCCATTAAGCAGAATAACTGTGAAGAAATAGGGGCCCAAATCATGGGCATGTTTAAAATCTCATTAGCTTTCAGTGTGTAAAGCGTACTGACTGAGAGCTTTCAGTGGCTTAAGCACAGGTAAAAATGTAATGTCTAAGATTCTATGTAATTTACAAAATATTTCTCTATTACATGGGGAAAAATATAAACCCATTATAGAATTTTAAAAGCACCCAATCAAACATGCCCTGAACAGACAGAAAAAAAATTACTAGATTTCAATACTAAGTTTTGTTATTTTAAACACAATTACATGAACAATTTTGTAAGCATTTTAAACAGTATAAGGATAAGAACACATCACTATTTGTACCTGTATCCATCAATGAAACTGGCATTAATATAATCAGAGCCTTCTACTCCTCGAATAGGCTGCAAGCATACCCTTGTGGATTCGTATGGCATAATATTGACAAGGCGATTTTTGAATTTATTACATGGAAGATTGGCACTGATGAATCTTGAAGTGTGAGCCTTAGAGCTAGCAAGACGCTGTTGAAAACAAATTAAAGAATTAAGGCCAGGTATAACAAAGACAAGCGACGCTCTCAAGTTTTATAATCTCTGCTCGGTAGCCATTAATGAGTAATTTCAAATTCAGATGCTTACAATTCCACATTCTATTGCATTACCCAAATATTGTAAAGCTTCTTTAGTACCTTATACAAGTACAATGTCTGCTCCATTAGTGCATTTGGACAAATTCCAGTATTAAACCCCTACACAAACACATATTTCAAGATATAATAAAAATAAAGGAACAGCAAGGTTAAATCACCCTCAACTGAATGGTTCTTGTCCAGACACCCACTGAGAATTGAATTGTACTTTTTAGAAAGAACCATCTTCCTAACTTAAAATTTTAGTCTAATGGTGTCTTTTATCTTTTGATTACTGGAAACAACTGGTGGAGAACAGAGAAGCTTTAGCATCACACTATTTGATTTTGGTTACCCACAACATAAAATCCCAGTACCTTAAATTCCAGTTCCATTCCTGTGACATTCTCGCCTGTTTCTATCTGTGTCAGCTTCTGGATATATGCATACAGGTTTCTGGCTGGCACTTCGGTATTTCCACATGTCACTGCTTCCAGCAGTGCATCATGGATAAAGATGTATTGGTCCTCAGTTTGAACCATGTAATTCCTCTGTGCTCTCATTAGAGTTACGTGGCCATAAATATCTACAGTCTTTTCATGCTTTATTCTCTCTAACATGGCATCTATCACAATGAAACAGCCAGTCCTGCCGACTCCAGCACTAAAAGAAATGAACACGGGAAAGAAAACATGGACTGTTTCATTCACTGTGCTTATTTTTACGTCATTCAAGTGTTAACGTTTTGTGATGCTGATTTAAACAGCACATTTCTGAATATGAACATCAGCTTTTATGAAAGAGGTTGGTGCCCTGAAATAAGTAAACTCCTTAAACATCCATTACAAGCAATTGAGAACACAGAATGCTTTTATATGAGATCTTTGCATCTTGCAGTTTCAGGTTTGACTATAACAGAAGTAAAACACCTTGCAACATGTTCTCAAAATGTATGTCGTAAAAATGGAAATTACTGGAGATGATGAATCCTCTAAGAATTCAAGCTTTATTTGTAGCATGAGATAATCTAAGTTTAATGACATAATCTAAATCATTGAACATGCTGTTGTTGCTCTTCTCTTTACAGGTAGATAGAGAGGTAAATTTATTGGCAAACAATAATCTAACAGAAAATGAGACTTACATATTTCTGTCATACTCTGCTGGTAAACTTTCAGGCCATCTCCCAGCCCTACTGGTGGGGCTTCTGTTAACACAGTTTGTTCTGTCCTTTGCTGTTTCATTTGGCTGGGACATACTGTTAGTCTTTGCAATGCAGACCCATGACTAAATAGCTGTGCTAGCTGTAGGCTGGGGGAAATCCAACTGTTTGGACACCAACTGGATCAAGTTGGACCACCTTTTTGAAGCCATGAATATGATTGAACTGTACCAAGTTTTGTTTCAACTACTTGCATACATGTAGCTAAACAAAGCTAAAGGGTAAAATGTAACGGGGTTTGTACACCATTTTCCTGTCCAGGAACACATCATGCCTGTAACAATGAATGACAGTTTCAGGCTTTCTGAATGCCTAACTTTTTTCGGTTAGTGACTGAAAATGAAGTACATGGTATAGTAAGCAATGGTTTATAAACTTCAAGACACTGAGATTAGCTAAATTAAGAATATTTAAGAACCCCACAAACTGCAATTTTTTGAGCATAAATAGAAAAAACCAAAAATAACTATAACCCAGCTTCTAGAGGACTATAGACTATATAACTATATAAAAGCCAAAACTCCTCACAGTTTCTGTATTTTCCACGGATATTAAATATCATAAGTCTATCCTGAAATTGATAAGCAAGGTCAAACATCGATTTCTTGCATCACACCCTAGGAATTCTTGCCAATTGCAAACTGAATTTCCTTATAACCAAATCAGAAGGAAGTACAGAATGGAATACTATTTTGTCTAATAGGCAGTAAATCTTTCTAAGACAGCAGATTTTCATATTGTTAATCATGTATTCTTGCCATAGATTAATCCTCCAAGCAGCAGATCCCCTTAAAACAGCTCAGGACTTCTGCTAACAGACCAAATGCATTAATCTCAACTTTCTTGGATGCCACTCTGACAAGAATTAACCAGTATTCTGATTTTAAGAAAATTTACCTATTCATCAGTTGGAGTTATAGAGAAGGAAAAAATAAAGAGAAACAAAATGATGGCTATTGTAACTGAAAAGTTGTTCATTTTTACCTTGTATAATAAAAGCTCCGCTTTTCCGGAAAAGCGTTTGACATTAACATGGCTAAAAATCATGGAGAAAATGTCCAAAAGCTGTCTCACTGTTGTGATTTTCTTTGTTTTTTTTTTTTTCCTTTTAATATAAATTTAATATAAATACACATTTGTATGTCAGGTTGGTTCATATCAAGTTTTAAACCATTCCTTAAATGATTACTCTTCACATTCAGTTTTTATCAGTTTAGTAAGTGTGTGCCAAGTGAGAAATATGAAAGTTTGGCAGTGCAGATTTTATCAGTAATCTAGAATGTGGTTATTTTTCCTATAATGTACTAAAATGTGGTTTCAACATCACGTTTATAATTGGATATGCCATTTTTCACATTTTTCAGAACATCAAAAAGGTCACTGGTACCTGCAGACCACAACTGTAAAATCCCAAACCAGTTAAATGCTTCTACCTTCAGCTGGAATGAGCAATTTTCTGTTCTTCTTTTCATGTCTTTAATTATCTTATGTCTTTTATTATATATTTTTATTTTATTTTTTTCATGAGCAAACTCAAAGAATCATAGTTATTAGCATATTCTAACAAAGAAAATATTTGCTAGTCTACAGGTTTATGAAGGAGTTATAAAGATCATGAAAGCAAATGCAAATATTATTATGCACTCATTTCATGGTAAGGATGAAGGGGCTGACACACTACATTTATGGAGGCATTTGGCCTCACTGGGCTCCTGACACACATCTCTATGGACCGTTTTATCCAGCAAGATATTTTACTCCTTTAAGATGTTCACTACATTCTAGTTCTGCCCATTATAAATGAACTGTGTCTACCAAACTACTCTTTTGACTTTCCACATTAAAATGGAACAAGTGCCATGAAGATTTTAACTCCTCTTTGAAATGTGCATTCTGCCCCCAAGACCTTCTAACTCTAAACTACAATAGCTTATCATATAAAAGAAACCTACACTATCCTAATTTTTCATCCCATTTCTCTTTCTCTTCTACTATCACACAGCCTTCTTAATATGGTATGATACAATACTGGGAAGCCGTGCAGTTTGAATCTCCATCAGTAAGCCACTGAAACATAAAAAGAAATTCCCTGTCTTTCATCTACTAACCATGATAATTCAGCTAATAAGAATAATTTCACAAAATTTTTACTACTTTTGCTATTGACTTTCTTGCCCTTTTGGTTTGCATCTTCTCGTGTTGCTGTCAAAGTTAGAATTTTCATTTCATTTAATAAAAGAATTATTACATTTTCAGTCTGAAAACCTATATATCTATTAAATAGACATACCTAGGAAACTTTTACTGCTCCAAATATTGTCATTTCCAGTATTATAACATTTGTTTTCAATTTCTAAAATCATGACTGACTCAGTCCCACAAGCTGAAACACGTTTAATGTCCTGTGATGCAATACAGCTACAATAGCTACAATTCAAAAAAGGAAAATGAAGAGGCATAAGGGGGACATTCTGAATTCAAATCACTGTATGGATGTGTTAAAGGTTGGCTTTTGTGATTAATTTGTAGCTGTTTAAATGATGACCCTTTACTGATACTTCAGTGATTTGGCAGAGGAAGGCAGTGTAATTACCAGTATTCACAGATCATTTAATTGGAAGCAAAGACAGTAAAATATGGACCAAAAATCATGTAGGACATTTTTTGACTTCTATCAGGGGGAAATTTTATTGAATATTACTGTTTCAGATTGAATGAAGCTTGCATTTATAAACTGAAAGTACATTAAATTGCTTGTGATATGGGAAATATATAAAAAGGTCTGGGTTTTATTGAGGAACTTCTAATGACTGATTAGATTCCAATCCCACAGAAATTCTGTAGTCATTCTGGCAAGAGCAATATTTAGATTATTTTCCCATTTTGTGGTAAGGAAATTAGAACAGAGCAGAAAATCACCCCCCTGGCCAGGAAGCAGCTAAAAAAGCCCCTTATAAAATCACTGAACATCCTTTTGAGAAGAAACATCTGAACAAAATAACATAAAGACCTTGTGCAAAGATGTAAACTGAAATTTCATTTTAGAGGAGATACTGGATTCCTTCAAGAATTATATAGCAAATTATAAGAGATCTTTGAGAATTTTGTATGCAAGTGTACAGTGACACTCTTCCCTTCTCACTGTGGTTATGGCAGACAACAAGGATGGTATTCAGCATTTTTTAGGTGCTTTAGCAAATGTATGACTTCACTGACTGAATTTTCTTCATGCCTAGGCTATGCATGGAGGCAATGATATTTATCACTGAAGTCACATAAATTGTCTGAAAAAGAACATGGAATAAAAAAATTCAGAAAACAGGAGAATATTTCACTACTACAATCAGATAAGGTTCAGTCTAGAACTCTCCCTAGTTTTCATAGTTAGTAGACAAAAGCATGGGATAGTCACAACCCAAAAGCCAGGCTTATATAGTTCTTCCTTTATGGCATTTTAATACGATTTTTCCTTCCAGTCTGTACATTCTTAGAATTCCAGTATTACCATAAATTCTTCAAACATAACTGCCCCAGATTTAAGCCCGTATTTTTTTGTAAAATGCACCTGCAAAAGTATAATAAAGTTCAGGAAGTAAATTTGTCCTTCATCTAATCCCAAGTACAGCTCTGGAGAGATCAAAGATAAGAAGTTGTCTTATGAGTTTGTAACTTGAACACAAACTCAAATATTAAAGCACAGAGAATCAAAACTCCCAAAAATTTCTCTAACAAATCCCATGTACAGAAAATAATTGTTTACTAAAATAATTTTAAAAACTGAATTTTCCATGCAGGCTAAAAATGCACCATTGGTAATGTTAGGCAAATGAAAAAATTTAAGAGAATCTTCTAACAACGACATTCCATTAGAGCACTTCAAATCCTCTCACCACTCATAAATTAATATTACATACAGGAGATGAAATGAAAATGACCATTTGTTCTTTACTTGCCAAAGAATTAAGGTCATGAAATGAAATTACGAGAATATCAAACAAATAGGAAGTAATTTTTAAAGTAGTACATAATTAAATTGTGACACGCATTGTTGCAGAATACCATGTATGACAAAAAGAAATTCAGAGAGGAAAGGATCAGTTAAGGGTTATTAACCAACAGGTTACAGATACAGTTTCCCCTACAGAAATCTGTTTATTAGATTTCATTGGAATTAGGCAAAGGGACTCTGAAAAATAACATTCTAGACATGTCCTAGGTGAGAAACTGAAATGCACTGTCTTAAATTTGGTGTCATGATCCAACATAGTTATAAGAGGCATAAGCATTTCATTTCCCAGCTGTAAATCAGATCACCTTAGAACTCCTCTTTTAAACCAACACTTCAGCCTCCAGGTACTTGACACCTTTAGGAACTATACCATTGAAAAAGCACACCATTAATATTGATACTTTCTTCCTCTTTCTTGAAAGGGACAAATTA